GTCAAGGTTTCTAGTCTCCTAGCATTTTGTATGTCGTAATCATATCTCCTCTTTTGCTATTTGTCACCTCAGCTGAGTCCAGATACCCGTATTCTCACAGACCCACACTCACCTACACTCTCATCCAAACTGTCACCCACATATTTTCACTCACATCTGCTGGTGTTATAACTAAAATGCAAAACTTTTGCACATTCTAATGCATAGCAACACTGGTAGACAGCCTGCACACTCCAGCACCAACACTCTGAAAGTACAACTTTCGAGACTGCTGAAAATATACAATGAAAATAAGTAGATTTTGTTTTCCAATTCCATTAACCCTTGGCCAACTTTTAGTGTATATTAGATGGCTGCAAATGCAAGGCCAAAAGCCTGCAGTAGTATTTTTTCCCATTTTTGCTCAGAATATTGTGTTTTTCAATATGTCTATTTAGTTAATAAATGTCACCAATGGAGGTTGTTGAAGAGAAAAATGATTGGTTTGTTTTATATTTAATATTTTAATATATATTATTACTATTTTCTTTAAATATTATTATCGTCTTTATTATTATTATTATTATTATTATTATTATTATTATTATTATTATTATTATTGCTAATGATCTTGAGAATAAACGCAATGTTAGCAGAGATTTACACAGTGTATTATAACTGCTTATATTAGTCTCAGAATCAATATAATCGTCAAGACCTTTCTATTTTCTCACTTCTTAAATATATGAGCGTCAGTACCCACTCTGGATGGTAGTCAACAAACCCTCCTCTCCTATGACATCCCTTCTAGACCTCTCTCTGAAGTGTGGTTAACATGCCCTCCGTCTCCATAATGTCTTCTCTGGACCCTTTCTGTAGGGCAGCCAACAAACTTTCCTTATCTTTGAGGTCTTCCTTTGGGGAAAAAAATTTCCACCCACATCAGTCGGTTAACAGTAAGATACCTATTTACTGTTAGATGAAGAGTAGCATCAGGTGTAAGGAGACTTGTCTACAGGCCTACAGCCGATCGGAATTTAACCAGGGTTTCTTGGTAGTGACCTGAAGGTATTTCTTTCCGGACCTTGTATAAATGCCCTTTGCCTTCTCCTGCCAGAGATATTGGTATTGCAGGCGCGGGGACAGGTGCGTCGTTTGTAGATAACAGCGCCATTACAGCTACTCAGCAGCATCTGAGAAACACCATCTGCACCAGCTGCTGCCTCACCTTCGCCACTCTCACAGCCTCGTCTCCACCAGCTGTCTTTTCACCAAATTTCGGTTTTATTCTTTTTAACAAAACTTGGACACTATGTGAGCGGAGAGTTGAATGATTATTTCCCTTCGGCGATATCGTAGTGTGTCGTATTCGACTACATACACGTGCGTTTAAATTGTAAAGGTGTACAGTTAAGGTTACATCCTGCGTGTGACCGACCCACAACTGAAGGTCCTGAAGGAAACATCCTGCGTGTGACATCACCCACATAATGATATCCAGTACGGGCGACATATTGCGTGTGAACTATACTTTATCCTCCGCTTGATCTTGCAAGTGAACGCACTCACGTCAGAACATCCTACAGAGGGAAATGTTCTTCGTATGTGCATGGATCCACATTTGGGCAGCATGCTGGACCCATATCCTACGTGCCAAAGTACACACAGACACACACATACATCACGAGATCCTGTAGGACTGACATTCTACACGTGACCACACACCACATGGGCCTCATCTAACAGACTTCGTTTCTCAAAGGAACTTTGAGGAGAGGAGTAATAAAGTCGGGATAGAGTAGTAAAATAACTTCTTTCTTTGGCTTCTTCGAGATTAATGTATTTTTGACGAGTGCTCCGAAGAGGTCAGTCTGGGGACCTAAATCCCACGATGGCGGAATACTTCAGACGATCGATCCCGGCCCAGTCAGAGGAGTGAAACCCTTTTGGAAAGGATTTTTGGGCATCGTTTTCCGATGGATTCCAAAGAGTTCGTTCTCTCTGATTTGCCGTTAATAATTTATTTTTTACTGCTACCTGAGTACATATAGGAGAGTACACGTGCACGATAAGGCTCTTTGAGCAGAGCGAGAGAGTGGACCTAATAGCGATCAGCGATGAGGCGAGGCCAGGAGCTAAAACTCGACCCCTGCAGCTACAAATAAGGGAGTATAAATAGGTGAGTACACACACACACACACACACGTCCTCAGCATACAAGAGGTCCCATAAAGGACTAAGTGTGTGCATACTTGGAACAATTTAGTAGATAGCAACCAACTTCAGGGCTTTCAAGGAGCACTGAAACGCTTTTAAAGGTAATTTAAAGAGCATTGTCGATCATATAGAGACATTTCAAGATAATTTCGAGGCATTTAAAGAAGTTTCAAGAACGTATGAAGAACTTTACGTGTATTTAAAAAGCTTTCTAGGGCTTTTAATGAAATTTTAAAGGCAATGCAGAGCTTTTAGAGCTAGCAATGCCTTACAGAAATCTCTCCATTGAAGAACATAAGAACATAAGAAAGAAGGAACACAGCAGCAGGCTTATTGACCCATGCGAAGCAGGTCCATGTCATCCTTCGGCTTAGCCCAATGACCCAGCTAGTCAGGTCACTTCCACTTAAGGAAGGAGCACAGCATCAGACCTAGCAGCA